CAGTCTTCATGCATACACATACATGTGTATAAGTGTTGTAATAGTAGTTCCTTTTTTGGGGAGTGGGGGTCCGGTCATGCGGCCCGAACTCTGGGCCTGGGCACCGTCCCTCAGCCCTTCAGCTCAAGGCTCGCACTCTACCACTTGAGCCACAGCGCCACTTCTGGCTTTTTTTCTTTTTGCTCATGTGGTGCTGAGGAATTGAACCCAGGGCCTCAGGCATGCAAGGCAAGTGCTCTACCATTGAGCCACCTTCCCAGCTCCCTGTAATAGTAGTTCTATGTGGGGATACCTAGGAGCTGGTGTAGAGGGAACGAGAATGACAGACACTAAATAACACTTATATACATGTAACTTTGGTTTAAGATGTCATTATACATGTATACATATAAAGGCATGTATATGCATATCTTTTAAGACTCAATTCCTTATATGAGGGAAAATAACTTTTGCCCATAAAAACCTACTTTAGTTCAATTAACAAGTTAATATCCAGTTGCATCCTTTTGCCAATGAATGGTATAATGTCTTTGCTGTTTATAACTGAATAAATGTACACTATGTATCAATGCCAGATTTCATATTCTTTTATCATCCTTAAATAGTTGTATGGAGGAGTTGCTATTTCACAAGTCATGGATACAAAATATAAAATCTTGATCAATGTCACACATTTCAATATTCCACACATCCCAAACCATACTCTCACTCTTCTTCATTTCATAAGACATACATAAGATATACAATGGATTGCTGACTACGTTCTCCCACTCTTCTACTCTTCATTTGTTCACCATTTTCAAATACCCATTTCCTGGTGTTTTGCAAATCTAAAATTTCAACCCCTGTAAAGAAAGGCACTCTGCTTATTTTTTCATTTAGTCCTTCTGCCTACTAGGATGGGAAGTACTATCACCCCTTAATATCAAAATGGAAGTTGAGATGTGGTTCTTTGCATTAAAGTGAAAGACACAAGCAATGATTGTACAACTAATCAGAAAGTGTGCTAGTCCTCAAATTGTGTGGTCAGGACTCCAGCACATATTCCTGACTTTCAGTAATAAAAATCTACTCATTTGGTCATGGAACAAACATACACTAATTGCTTGGAATTTTATGAAATATTCTATAGTTCTGAATCATTTCCACTTTCTTTAAAATCTTCACAGTCTTCACTAGGTAGTTTACATTTCACTGTGGCAATTTGACTGGTTAACTGACTAGCACTAAGGCTCAGACATATATCAAAACCCTTTGGGAGTTGTTTTCCTTTCTACACAACAGGAGAAATAATTGCTTGCCTCAGCAATCTGGATATTGATGGCTTCGACATCATATCATTGGGAGCAGAATGGAATAAGATACCAGATATAAACTGCCTATGTGTCATGTGTAAGTCACGTTTTGTTTATGCACTGATCAACTATAATATCCTAAACTGCTTTGATAGCTTGGCTACCAGAAATAGTGCAGCAATGAAGATGGGTGTGAACATGACTCTATTCTATCCTGACATAAATTCTTTCTGATGTATGTCCATGGGTAGTATTACTAGATCCTATGGTACTTCTATTTTTAGCTTTTTAAAGCACTTCTATACCACTTCATTCCTAAGTTTTTGCACTAATTTATACTCACACAAATAGGTATAAGGTTCCTTTTCCAACATCCTCACTAGCAGTTGCTCTTGTTTGTGTACTTGCTGATTGCCCCTCTGTCTGGAGTGAGATGAAATTTCAATGTCATTTCGATTTGTACCTCCTTTATGGCCAAGAATGCTGACCATTGCTTCATCTACAGATGTACTTATTTGTACTTCTTTGGAGCTCAGTTCACTCTTTTGTCTCTTCAGTTCAGTTGCCTATTTATTGATTGGATTATTGGTTCTTTGGGAGTTTAGATAATCTTTGTATCTTGATCATTAGTCACTTTTCAGATGTACAGCTGATGTTGTCCTCTGCTCTAGTCTATTAGGCCATGTTTTAATTCTAGATTTAATAAAATCTGTAATAACACCGTTCAAATAACTAAAGGCCTTACACTATGGCTTGATATAGAAAAGCTGGAGGATTTCCATGACATTAAAACCTATGCACACTTTCTTCTCCAGATACCTGATTTTTATATTTAATTGGTTCTAACGCTAGTTTCTTTCCTTTTTTGGCTAGTACCCAAGTTTGAACTCAGGTTTCATGCTTATTCAGTTTCATTGCTCACAGCTGGCTCTCTATTCCTTGAGCCATGCCCCAACTCAGCTTTTTGCTGCTTAATTATAGCGCCTTTTGTAGTCTTTTCTGCCTAGGCTGGCTCTATTCCTTGATCCTCTGATCTCAGCTTCATGGGTATCTAGGCTTAGAGGGGAAAAGCCAAAAGGCTTATCAGTTTCTTTCCTTTTATATCAGTTGCAATGCAAAACAACGTGATTTTCAAATGCTTAGTTTACAAAACTATGTCTATTTTTATTTGTACCTATATCTACATGTATACAGAGAAAGAGAAAAAGTTAAGCACATTCCCTGGATAACCATGGCTATGAACATTCTTTACAATAAACAAACAATATTTTATTTATGTGGATATGTATGCACGCATGCTTGTATATGTGGACACACACACATATACACATCCACTCACAAAAAAACACATAGACAGATAGACAGACACATAGATTTGAGGCAGGCCTTAGTATGTAGCCTGGGTTGCTCTCAAACTAGTAAACTTCCTATCTTCTCCACCTAAGGTTTAAATTATAACCTGCCCAACCACACCTCACTAATGTTATTTAAAATGAGTACATTGTTGTCCTCAAATCAAATGGGCTTTTGGTTATTAAGGAAATAGAATATTTAGTGGAAGAAGTAAACATGAAATACCTCCACAACCATATCACAGAAAGCTCATTTTCTGCATCTAAGAGTGTAGTTTTGCACAAACTTATGCACTTACCACAGCTGGTCTTTTTCATACATCACAGTCAAATATGCCAATATTAGTGACTGGACTCACTGCCTGGGTGATGTCCCTGAGCTTCTCTTTTAAGGCTACTTGAGCCACATCTCTACTTCTACTTCTGAATTGTTTTTATTAATTGGAGGGTCTCATGGACTTTTCTGCCCAGGCTGGCTTCAAAGCTCTATTCTCAGATCTCAGGTTTACAGGCATGAGCCACCTGTACCCAGCAGCTTTAGATATTTTTATTTACACTGTACCTGGTTATTTGTGGTACTTAGTAAGGTTTTTGTTGTTTGTTTTTGTGCTGGTCCTGTGGCTTGAACTAAAGGCCCAGGTATTTTCCCAGAGCTTTTTCTCCTCAAGATTTGCACTCTAGCACTTGCACATCTCTACTTCAGGCTTTTTGATGGTGAGTTGGAGATAATAATCTCCATGACTTCCCTACCTGGGCTGATTTGAACCATGAGCACAGCTCTCAAGTCTCCTGAGTAGATAGGAGTACAGGTGTGAGCCACAGGTGATTGGCTGATTTAAGTCCTAAGACCTCCTTGAATACTTCCTAATGACCAAGTTTTCCATTTTGTGGGTTTCAGACACATAGCAGGTTGTAAGGGAGGAATAAGCTGAGTAGAACAAGGACTCCTTGCTCGAGTGCTAATGTGTCAGAAAAAATCTATTCGTAGTGAGCTGAACTATGCTTTTTTTTTTGTCAGTCGTGGGCTTGAACTCAGCCTGAGCGCTGTCCCTCAGCTCTTCAGCTCGAGGATAGCACTCCACCATTTGAGCTACAGTGCCACTTCCGGTTTTCTGATGGTTTATTGGAGATAAGAGTTTCACGGAGTTTCCTACCCGGGCTGGCTTTGAACCGGGATCCTCAGACCTCAGCCTCCTGAGTAGCTAGGATTACAGGCGTGAGCCACTGTTGCCCAGCTGCTTTTTTGAATGAACTAAATTCCTGTCTTTTTAGTCCCCTTGTTTGTAGAGATCTTCATTTCTTTGGTTTTCAATTCCAAACAATTTAATCTTACAGATAACGAATTCTTTGAGAATTGATCACACAGTAAATGGTTTCCTCATTTGTGTGCCTGTTTTTAAGGTCCTGATATGGGTCTTGTGCCCTGTTGCACAATGGCTCCTCCTTAGATAGGCTTCCTCTGGAGAGACAATGATTGTGCTAAAGGTCTGATAAGTTGAAATGTGTTACGGAGGAGTCTGGGTGGATTCAAATGACTGGAGAGGTTTGTACTGATTTACAAATAGCACTGAGTTAATATTTCTAATGAATGAAATGTAATCTGCTTATTCCAAAGCAGTATATATACTTATTCCAAAGTGTATGTATATTATGTATATATATAATGTATATAATGTATATGTATACACACGTCTTTGAAATAATTGCAAATTTTTATGTTAGAACTATAAACTGAACAAAACTAAAAACTAAAAACTCAACAAAAGTAGAAATTGGTAAGGTTGATATTGCAATTGAGGTAGATTTTAATTTTTCTTACATCACCTTTATCCTCAATTCACACTGAAATTTTCATGATCAATGAAAGTACTTTTCAAATGCTGCTCAATTTTTGTCATTTCAAAATTATTTCATACATATTAGTATAACATGTAGTTTTTTTAAACAATAGTGTCCATGGCAAACAGTGTGATGGCAGGTCTTCAATGTGAACATTCTGATGACCTCTTACCAACATGATGAGATGATTCAGTCTTGCTTTCCACCCTGTCACCAGAGCCAAGAGGTTTATGTGTATGAATAGGTGGAATATTCTCAGGATATTTCTATCTAAAGTCCTGAGAAATGGGAAATCTGTGCTGTTGCTCTGGAGATACATTCATATGGAGCTTTTGAATGTTGCTTTTACATATGGAACTGCTCAGTGTTCATCTATATTCCTCACCTTTTTAAAAATTCTGCAACATCTTCACATATTTTTAAATGTTACCAAATTCAATTAAACTACTCAATTTTCATTAGAAATTTTGCTATGAAACTTTATATTTCCCTAATTTAAAATATTCTATTTTTTCTAATGTTTTGGTAAAACATCTTGGAAGAGAGAAATAAGAGACCACACCTTCACTGCCTTCATCAGATGAGGGGACTTGGGATCTGAAACAGAACAATGACAGATGTTGCACAAGGAATGCCAAGCTTGACCTTAAAAGCCAAAGGAGACTAACATGCCATGAGCTTAAAGCTAACTACTGGCATAAACAAAAGAAAAAGGTAAATATAGTAATAGAGTTTCATGAAACAAATCATCTTCTTCTTATATCCAAATAAAGAATACTAGAAATGGAAATCCAGACATTTTAGGTGGGTTTTCAGGGTATAGTGGCTGAGAGAATACTGTTAACCCCTGGTATTAGGGCGCTACAGAAGTGCTCACAAGTAGTGTCATCAGGACAGTGGAGTGGACACTGGGTGATGGAGGGAAAACAGCTTGGGTGGTCCTCAGTGAGTGGTTTGTGTGAGTTAGGGATTGGAGCAGTGACTGGGAATCTTGTCCTGAAGCACTTAGTGAGGCTAAGGCTGACTGAGACCCAGGTTTGGTGAGTATGACCTTACCAGGAGAGTACATGATCTCAGTTGACTTTGTTGTCTTGCTCACTCTGTGGCTCAGATCCGTACTCAGCAAAAAGTTGTCACCATCCTCCAAGAATCAGTTCAGTAGGACACAAGGCCTCCATTGATTAGCTCATCAGGGCTGATCATTCAAAGTTAATTCTTGGCACAGACATCAAGTGGCAAGTGGTTCAGGATGTTCTGAACTCTGAGCCATCTAAGGAGCCAAGTAGAACACTGGTCACGGGGGGTAGGGGGTGTCACCTACAGATCATGAAGGCTCTGGAGAGGCCTTCGTCAATGAAAAGATGCTGAGAGAAGATTATACAAATGTGCTCTTCCTCTTGTCCTTCAGAGATATTCTATTTAGAAAATACCCTATTTGGGGCCAAAAACTGAAATGTAAGGCAGTAGGAATGGGTTCATGAGCTTTCCCCTGGCTCAGGCTATCTCCTAGAGCATCAGTCTTCCCAGCATCACTTTGTTGCAGAAATATTTAAGAAAGGGATTAAGAAAAAAAGAAAAAAAAGGATTAAGACTTGCTCTTGAATCTAGATTCCATGACATCATGCAGAGGAATCAAGAGTTGAGGGAGCTCTGTCTCCAGCACCCAATTAGATTCTTTTCTCATTACCATCACTCAACAGTGTTGGGAATCTGAGAAAGTGTTTCCAAAAAATCCCTAACTTTTGATTCTTGCTCTGTACTTCCCTCAAGACTGGACTGAGATCACAGGAAACAGCAGATTTTATCTGAGCTACAAATTATTTAACCACATAAAGGAAATAGAATTGAGGTTCAACTTTCTTTCCCCATGGTTTGCCAATTTGAAGAACATAGATAACATTTCTACAACTCCAAATATGGAACTTCGGCAGAGTAATCTATATATTGCATAGATTCTACATTCAAATAGAAACCAAGGATATCAGGCTACAACCAGTGATTTCTGTCCCCATCTTCTGTCTGATCTGTTCTTCCTATGTGAACTCCTTTTACTAAGGCATTTGCCCACATAATCACTCTTGGATGTTTAAGCACTTGACACAATGGAAAATCCTCAGAAGCTCAGGCTGACTCAGATCAATTTGATTAAAGGACAAAATCTTGAACAGAGGATCCTGAAGATATGGACCAATCTCTCCATACCTCTGGAAACAAATATTCTACTCTCAACTGTGAGAAGTTGGTTCTATTTTTGTTAGCTTCCATTTTTGTGTGAGGTTGCTCAGTGTCTTTCTCTGTGTGGTTCTTTCATTTAATGCATTACCTCCCATAGCCTTTTATGAGATTACAAACGACAGCCTTCTTTTTTTTTTTTGTCGGCCATGGGGCTTGAACTCTGGGCCTGGGTGCTGTCCCTCAGTTCTTCAGCTCAAGGCGAGTGCTCTACCACTTGAGCTACAGCGCCACTTCCGGTTTTCTGGTGGTTTATTGGAGATAGGAGTCTCATGGTCTCTCCTGCCCCGGCTGGCTTTGAACCGCGATCCTCAGATCTCAGCCTCCTGAGTAGCTAGGATTACAGGCGTGAGCCACCAGCGCCCGGCTGACAGCCTTCTTTTCATCACAAAGAAATGTAAGCTTTCCAGGTGTTGGATATGCAACCAATGCTCAATGAAACATGAAACAACACACTGTATAATCAAATGAAATGTTTGATTGGGAAAAAGTTATTACTAATTGTCACATGGTCACCTATTCTATTCTCCACGTTTGTGAGTTTTGTCTATTTTTCTTTTTTTTCCTTTTTTTGGTCAGTCATGGGGCTTGAACTCTGGGCCTGGGTGCTTTCCCGGCGCTCTTCAGCTCAAGGCGAGCGCTCTACCACTTAAGCCACAGCACCATTTCGTTGTCTCTATTTTTCTTAATTTCCTTTTTTGTGTTGAGATTGCTCAGTATCTTTCTATACCTGGTTATTTGTCTTAATATACTATCTTCCATAGCCCGCCCTGAGATTGCAAATGACAGTATTCTTCTCACCATAAAGAAATATATGTGTTCTTGGTGTTGGATATGAAACACTGTAGAATGAAATCATAGTACATAATATTATGCTTCAAAATGCTGTATGGATATACCTAGGAAGAAATATGTGATTAGGATGACTTTTTACCTGAATTTTACCCTACCGAATATCTAGCACAGTCCTACCTCTGTCTCTCTCATCCCTTGGATTTCGGCAACCACCTTCTAACAAGCTTCTGGTTCCTCATTTTTGCCATGTTTCCAATTATTTCCTTACTACCAGAATTGAGTTTAATAAAACCATGTCTTCATTGTATTTTGGTACAATTATCTGAATGGAGCTGGAGAAAGAAATTGGAGTGATGATAGACTCATCCTCAGAACTCCACTTTCAGCCTCCAGAAAAGTAAAAAAACACAAGCTCTTCATATTATCCACGCTGGTTTATTATAACAACTCACTCAACAGAACAACAGAATGAACTAAGGGTGAATCAATCACACGTGACTCATTACCAGTGATTAATTCAATATAAAGGAAGCACTGAAGTTATTTTGGGGTTACTCATCCAAAACCAAATGGTTTAGACTCTTGTCTTTATTTACCAACCAAAGAAACCAGGAATGAAGCTATGACTCAAATAGTAGAGCATTAGCCTTGAGCAAAAATGCTTAAGAACAGTGCCTAGGCTCTGAGCTCAAGCTACAGGACTTGTACCCATACAAAAAACAAATATATCCCCAAATGTGTGCCTTTCCATGTTTTCTGAATGTTTCATGAACTTGAGGACAAAAGGTGAAGAGAAAAATTTCACAATTGTGCACGTTTTGTAATAAACAGTGGCATCTTCCATCAGATCTTCTATTCAAACACTGAACTGGAAATAGTAAGTCACTTGTGTTATAACGCATTGAGCGCACATACAGTGGGATACTTTAGTGGAGCAGTGGAGAAATCGAAGCTCTTATGTCCTTGTCTGAAATCATAACAGTCTTTTCCCATCTATGACTCCCCAAATCACCTTGGAGGATGATCTGAGTCCAATCTCAAAGGGCCAGAGTTCTTATTTCTGACTTTATAAAATCACCTTGACAAATTATTCCATATTATAAAAGAGACAAGTCAAGAACTTCACTCTCTTAATTACTTCTCAAGCCTGGAAGAAATTAACACCCATCACTTGTGTCCAAATCTTTTGAATAACATTCAAGGACACCATCCACACTCATCACAATAAGAGGATGAGAAATGTTGGCTCAGCGAGTGCCCAATAGGAAATAATGGTTTCGGGCTGGGAAGGTGGCTCAGTGGTAGAGAGCTTGCCTTGCATGCCTGAGGCCCTGGGTTTGATTCCTCAGCACCACATAAGAAAAAAGAAAAAAGCCAAAGTGGTGCTGTGGCTCAAGTGGTAGAGCGCTAGCCTTGAGCTGAAGACCCGAGGGACAGTGCCCAGGCCCAGAGTTCAGGCCCCACAACCGGACCCCCCCCCCAAAAAAAGGAAAGAATGGTTTCCCATTACACCTAGCTTACTTCTGCCATGAAGAGCTTCTCTGTATAATTTGCAGCAGTTCCTGAAAAGTATTTTCCTGCATTGGGTTTCTTTGCTGTGAGTGCTGATGCTTACTAAAGCCTGACTTCTGCTTGAAAGATTTCCTCTAATGTTTACATTTACCAGGTCTCTGATACCTGTAGAGATAAGATTTCCAGCTAAATGTTTTTCTACATTTATTATGCTGAGAATTTCTCTCATTTATTTATATGTTCTCAGATGCACTGAGGACTGACACCTGCTTAAAAGTCATTGCACATTTGGTGTATTCACTAGTTTTCTTTTCTCCTGTGTGATTCAGTTCTCTGATGAACACTGAGGTATGCCTTCCAGGTGAAGGCATACCTTTCCACATTTATAACATTCATAAGATTTCTCTTCTGTGTGTTCTATTAACACCAACTCATGCCTTTTTGGTGAAGGATTTTCCATGTTTGTTACGTTCATACGGTTTCTCTCCTGTGTATGTTCTCTGATGTAAATTGAGGTGTGACTTCTTGAAAATTTTTTCCACATTTGTTTTATTCATAAGATTTCTCTCCTATGTGTGTTCAATGATGAGCCATAAGCTGTGCCTTCTGGGTGAAAGACTGCACATATGCTCCATTCATAAGGTTTCTCTCCTGAGTGGGTTCTCTGATGCAAACTGAGTTTTCTTCCAGGTGAACGACTTTCCATTTATTTTATACATACAATTTTTCATTAGTGTGAATTCTCTTATTCTTGTTGAGATGTGACTCTGGATGAAAGATTTTCCACATTTGTTACAATCATAAGGTTTCTCACCTGTATGAATTCTCTTATGCCAACTGAGGTGTGAACTCCACTTTAAGGTCTTTCCACATTTGTTGCATTCATAAGGTTTCTCTCCTGTGTGTGTTCTCTGATGCGAAGTGAGGGTTGATTTGTGCCTGAAAGACTTTCCACATTTGTTACATTCATAAAGTTTCTCTCCTGTGTGTGTTCTCTGATGCAAAGTGAAAGAAGACTTCTGCCTGAAAGATCTATATTTGTTACATTCATAAGGTTCCTCACCTGTGTGAATTATCTTATGCTTGCTGAGGTATGAACTCCGGGTGAAGGTTTTTCCACATTTGTTACATTCATAAGGTTTCTCACCAGTGTGAATTCTGTTATGCATGCCAAGGTGTGAACTCCACTTGAAGGTCTTTCCACATTTGTTGCATTCATAAGGTTTCTCTCCTGTATGTGTTCTTTGGTGCAAAGTGAGGTGTGACTTCCCTCTGAAAGCCTTACCACATTTGTTGCATTCATAAGGTTTCTCTCCAGTGTGATTTCTCTCATGCAAAGTGAGGTCTGACTTCGGTCTGAAAGTCTTTCCACATTTGTTACATTCAAAAGGTTTCTCACCTGTGTGAAATCTCGTGTGTCTCTGGAGGTTTGCCTCCCGGGTGAAGGACTTTTCACATGTCTGACATTCATAAGGTTTCTCTCCTGTGTGTGTTCTCTGATGGACAGTAAGATGTGTCTTCCGGGCAAAAGATTTTCCACATATGTTACATTCATAAGGTTTCCCTCCTGTGTGTGTTCGCTGAAGCAAAGTGAGGTATGACTTTTGTATGAAAGACTTTCCACATTTGTTGCATTCATGCATGCATTCTCATCTTTGGGAGTTCTCTGATGCCTGCTGAGACCTGACTTCTGGGTGGAAAATTTCCTGCATTCCTCATATTCAAAGGGTTTCCAATCTATAGGTGATTGAGGTTGGAAAGTCAAGTCTGACTTATGAGAGAGAGAGTTTGTACATTGCTTATACTCATCGGACTTCTGTGGATATTTGCTCTCAGGTTTTCTAATGTGCATTTCCTTATTGAAAGACTTCTCACATTCATTAAATGTACAAGGATTCTCTCCTTTGTACATTTTCTGATGTGTAGTGACTACAGGTCTTACGTAGAATGTTTTTCCACATAAAGTACATTCAGGTGTTTTCCTCCCTCCTTGAAGTATCTCTTGGGCAAGGAGAGCAGACTTATCATAGTCTTCTCTATATTCACTATGGTTATAGGAGGTCTCTCCCATACAGACCCAATTATGGCTAAAGAATATAGTCTCTGAGTTTAATACCTTCCCTTCTCCACCAAATTCAAATTACTGCAGCTCATTTGGACTCGCATAATTTTGACTAAAGTACTCTGAATATCTGAAGGATTGTTCAACTACAGGAGACACACCAGTTGTATATGCAGCATGCATCTCATCAGGCTCACTATAGAGAAGCATGTCCTGACACTCAATGAACTCCTCAGTGCTCATCCCTAAAGAGTTCCCATTATTCCTCATCAGCTCAAGCTTATGAGTTGAGCCCAAGTTAAAGTTGTTATCAATCTCACTCTTTCTTCCACTGGGTTACTATTTGTGACTGCTACTTCACACAGACATTCATCTGGACCTTCCTGGCAGGTCTTAATCACCTCCTCCATTTCTTGGACATTTAAAATGTGTCAAAGAAAAAAAAGACAAAAACATAAATGAGATCCAAAGATTCCTTAATGTAAAGATGAAGACATTTTCTCTCATTCTGTTACAGATTTTCAATTACCAAAATAGGAATTAATTTATGATACATGATTTCTCCCTAATGTATTAATTAAAAAATAATACTGATATTTAGCAATGGAAAATGTTTTTCTGTGTTTCAGTTTTTCTTTTTATATCAGAAGAAATATTTACTCAAATTATTCAACTAAGTACTGTGAAAGTCTTAAGCTGAACACTTAAAATTTGCCTTTAGTATTCTTGGGATTGTTTCAAATATTGTTTTGTTTGACCACAGGGGAATAGCTGCTTTGTGTTCTTTAATTTTCGGAGACTCGGCCCCTCCGCTGTCGCAGCCGCCTCCCCACCCCCCGGCCCGCCACGAAGCGGTTCACCACGGCCTGGCCCCGCCGAGCCGCGCACCTCAGCCGCAGGTCGCGCGGAGCTGCGGGCGCTGCGGCGGGAGCCGGCGCGAGGCGCTGAGGCGCCGCCGCAGGGCCGGAGCCAGCCGCCGAGCGAGCGAGCGGGCGCGTGCTGGCGCGGCGATGTACCCGGAGGAGCGCGGCGCGGTGGGGCTGGGCGAGCTCCACTCCTGGTGGGAGGTGCCGGCCATCGTGCACTTCTGCTCGCTCTTCCGCACCACCTTCCGCCTGCCAGACTTCGAGATCGAGGTGAGAGGCGGGGACGGGCCGGAGTTCGGGAGCAGGGCTGCGGCGGCGTGAGGGTGGGGGCCGGGGCCAGGGCCGCCGGCGAGTGCGGGTGGCGCTCCGCGTGCCGCTGGGACGTACGGCGGCAGCGCCCGCGCGCGGTCCAGGGCCGCCGGGGAGCAGGGCGGGCGGGCGGGCGGCGCCGCCAGCCCCCTTGGGGCCGAGCCGGGGCCGCCCGGAGCTCGTCCGCCCCCAGAGAGGCAGCGGCGGCGGCGACGGGGCCTGGCCGCCAACTCCGGGCGGGGCGGGGGTGGGGGGCTCCTGGGGCCGCGGGGAAAGTCGGGTGCCATCTCTTCCCACCACGCCCGGCCCGGGGTGGGGGCGGTGGGGATGGCGCGGGGCTGGAAACTTGCGCGGCTTTTGTGTTGTGGGTGGTTGTTGTTGTTGTGTTGTTGTTGATGTTGTTGTGTTGATGTTGATGTTCCCCCCCTTCCTGCGCCCGGCCAGGCAGGGGAAGCCGTGCTCCTGGAGCCAGGGAGGCATGCTCCGGCCCAGGGACCCGGGAGCTGGCGGCCCGAGCTCCCGCGGCATGCCGGACAATGTGGGGAAGTTGCGGGCTGCCTCTGGCGGAGTGGGGAGGGGGAGGAGGAAGAGGAGGGGGAGGAGGAGGAAGGAGGGGGGGGAGGGGAGGGAAAGGGGGCTGTGGTACCAGGTGATTTTTCTAACGACTTTCCCTCTTCTTGGTGGGAGCCTGGTCGCTAGAATCCGGGCAGCCTAGGCTCAAGAGCCTGAAGTCCGCAGGAGGGATGGTTGGATGGATGGATGGATGGATGGATGGATGGATGGATGGATGGATGGATGGATGGATGGATGGATGGATGGATGGTTGGTTGGTTTGTTTTCTGACAGTTACTCCCGAATGTTCTGAATTTCCTTAGTGGGTCAGCAGAAAAAAAACACCCTGACAAAGGCCAGCGAATCAGGGCTGCGTCTCTCTGTGGAGGCCGCTGGGCCCCGCACCCCGCACCCCCTCCTGGGGCTCCAAGAGACCATGGAGAGGACCCCTGGTCAGGAGAGCCTTTGGAGGGAAACGGCAGGCATCACCGGGTCCCCATGCGCCCGTTTTGTGGATGGAAAAGGAGAGGTCAACTCATTTCAGCCTGAAGACAGCCACGCTCCCAGCAGTCTGGGAGTGATTTGTCCTGTGTCCTACACGTGTGTGGCTTCTGAGTGTTAGCAGGCTCACTTCCTAAAGAGAAATGCAGATTGTTTGAAGAGGTCAAGTATATTTAAAGGAGAAATGAGAAGTGATTGTAGCTTACACAGTGACTGGTGCAGACACCCGAAGTGACCGTTTCTAATTCTAGTCTTCCTTGGGAGTAACTTTGTTTTCACTTAAAATATATGCAATTTGAAAAACACCTCAGATACCTATTTAGATTCCAACATGTATGCCCTGTAAGTATTCTTCACACTTCTTTTTCTTTGGAGACGTTAGGTAACTTACTTACTTAATGCTCTGGTACTTGTATCTCTATTGTAGATCATGTGTATTTATTTTGATATGCCTCCCTTTGTGTGTGTGTGTGTGTACGTGTGTGCACGTGTGCGTGTGCACATGCACGCACATGCACACCCCTGAGCTGCTGCTTTTTTTTTTGGGGGGGGCTCAAGGCTTGTATTCTACCCCTTAAGCCACAGCTTCATTTCTGACTTTTGGTATTTATTGGAGATAAGAGTCTTCTCACAGACTTTTCTGACCAGGCTGCTTCAAACCATGATCCTCAGATCTCAGCCACCTGAGGAGCTAGGATGATGGGCTATATGGCTATGTTTTAAGTAGAGATTTTTTTTTCAAAAGTTGAGAAATGTTAAATTAGTTGTCTACCAAACTTGACTCAACTGTGAAGAACTGAGGACACTAATCAGTTTGATTCAGTATAATTGATTCTCATTTTTCTTAGGTAATTAAAAAATATCAAATAGTTTATTGGCCTGACTGTTTAAGAAAAAGTTTGGCTGGGAATGTGGCTTAGTAGTAGAGTGCTTGCCTAGAATACATGAAGTCCTGTGTTTGATTCCTCAGCACCACATAAAACAGAAAAAGCTGGAAGTGGTGCTTTGGCTCAAATGGTAGAGTGCTAAGTCTTGAGCAAAAGGAAGCTCAGGGACAGTGCCCAGGCCCTGAGTTCAAGCCCCAGAACTGGCAAAGAAAGAAAGAAAAGATTCCTAGGTGAGGTCCTAGGCCCTACAGTGGTAATGTATAGCAACTTGAAAAGATAGAAATGGTGGGCTAGGAAGGTGGCTCAGTGGTAGAGTACTTGCCTTGCATGCCTGAGGCCGTGGGTTCGATTCCTCAGTGCCACATAAGCAAAAAGAAAAAAGCCGAAGTGGTGCTGTGGCTCAAGTGGTAGAGCACTAGCCTTGAGCTGAAGAGCTGAGGGACAGCACCCAGGCCCAGAGTTCAGGCCCCACGACCAGACCCCTCCCCCCAAAAAAGATAGAAATGGTGAATAATACCAGGTAGAAGTTGGATATCATTTCTTCTCTAATGGGGGCTTGAACTCACAGCCTCTCAATTTCCTTGCTCACTGCTGGAGCTCTAACATTTGAGCTCTGCCTCCAGCCTGGCTTAAAAATTTTTTTTGGTGTCATTCTTGTGGTTTGAATTCAGGGCCTGGGTGCTGTCCCTGAACTTTTGTGCTCAAGGCTAGCACTCTGCCACTTGAGTCAAGGCTCCCCTTCAGGCTTTTTGGTGGTTAATTGAAGGTAAGAGTCTTACAGACTTTCATGCCCTGATTAGCTTTTAACGGTGATCCTCAGATCTCAGGCCCCAGAGTAGCTAACATGTCAGCCTGGCATGGTTATAGGAGAAAAGAGTCTACCACTTGAGCCACAGTGCCACTTCTGGCGTTTCCTGTGTATTTGGAACCGAGGAGTTGAACCCAGGGCTTCATGCATGGTAGGCAAGTGCTCTACCACTGAGCCACCTTCCCAGCCCGTGTTTTGTTTTATTTTATTTTATTTTAAAGGAAGCCAGTTTTCACCTGTGGGACAGATCTCTTCCTCTCTTTTTAAATCTTGATCACCTGGCTGAACATTTGGATTTATAGAATCTTCAAGGCCTTGGCTTCTATTTTTCTTTTTTTGGGGTCCGGTCGTGGGGCCTGAACTCTGGGCCTAGGCACTGCCCCTCAGCTCTTCAGCTCAAGGCTAGCGCTCTACCACTTGAGCCACAGCGCCACTTCCGGCCTTTTTCTTTTTGCTTATGTGGTGCTGAGGAATCGAACCCAGGGCCTCAGGCATGCAAGGCAAGCGCTCTACCACTGAGCCACCTTCCCAGCCCTGAAGAGCTGATGTTTTTATATTGGCATGCTAAAAATATTTTTACTTCGTTAGCAGCCTTGAATATAGAGGATTTCTTCAGGAAAGGCAACATACTTTTTTTTTCCCTAGTGCTGGGAGCTGA